CCCCAAAACCCCAAAACCCCAAAACCCCTTGAAACTAAATGTCCTAGTTCAAGTGGAGTAATGAAATTAAGATTATTAATTATCATCATTTCTTCTTTGCCTTTCCGCTTGTAGTAGTCTACTCAGCTTATTTCTTAGTTGGCTTTGCTTGTCTTTTTGCCTCTAGTTCTTTACGAGCTGCTTCAGCTCTATCTTTAAGAACCTAGTTATTTTGACTTTTAAAAGCATTATTGTTTGTGAGACTAGCTTCATAATCTTTTTCACACAAATGTTTTTCTGGCTAGAAATGATCTGCACAAAACCGATTTTTACAGTATTTGCAAGTGCAATAGAATAACTCAATCGATACTCGGCACACATGATAATGACACTACTTGTTAAGACTAATTATCGAATCAAGGAAATCTAAGTCATCCATCTATTCTGCTTTGCCTGATGTTTGGTCTACCTATTTTGAAGCCTTACTTTTCTTCTTTTTTTCTTTCTTTTTCTCTTCTTTCTTAACTTCTTATTATTGGGTTTGCTGCTAAGATTTTTACTCCTCTTGCTACTTTCTTTTTTAAAGATACTCACTCAACTACGAATTCTAAGTCAAGTTTTACTACTGTATTTATTATATATCTTACGGCTCAGCCTAAGATTAGGTATTTATAACTTTATGCTAATTCAAGGCTTCTTTTAGAGATTTAGGTTTTTACTCCTACTACTTCTATTCTTCAGCTACTTACTTCCCCTTTGAAATTGTAATATATCTACTCATACCATTTCCTTTGCTCTCATGGCCAAGACTTAATATCTCACAATATGCATGTACTACTTGTCTTTCCCAGCCATTTAAAGTGCTTGGAAAATTGTATGCGACTACATTAGGCTCACTAAAGAAATCATCAATTATTGCATGCAACTCTTATTCTCTGATTTAATCTTGCTAATCTTTTTCATCTTATGTCATATTATCTCTTTGGTTCGCTTTTTGAAATTTATACCTGCCCTAGTCACCCCCTTTTTCTTCCTCTTAGTTTTAATCTTTATTCTAATCTTCGCCTTATTTCTTTTGCTTTTTTCTCTCTTTTTTTAACTTATTTTTCTCTGCTTGTGATAAACCCTATTTTGTATCCCCTTGAATAGCTCTTTATTCATTTCTCTTAATCAATGTTTGCTCATCAATACCTTAGGATTGATATTAACCATACATTATTCTAACATCACTATTTCCTTGATAATCAAATGCAGATCTTATTATGGCATTATCCTTGAAGTATTAAATCAATGCTTTCAAGAAACTATTCTTAGAGACTGTACCACTATCAGCTATTATAGTGCATAGTCTTTTAGCTCTTGTCACAGCTACATTCATTCTTCTTTCATTAGATAGAAATCCTATCTCTCCTTTAGGATTTGACCTGACCATTGATATTATTATTACTTCTTTTTCTCTTCCTTGAAATCCATCAACCGTTGAGACCTCAATTCTATCACCTATTTTCGCTCTATCAACATGAGTATGAAGTTCTTCTTAAAATCTTATGGCTTTCTTGATCATATTAACCTGAGCATTATACGGGGTAATTACTCCAATGTCAGACTTTTTTATTCCAAGTGAGATTAATTCCTTCAAAACTTATATCACTAGATCGCATTCACTATAGATTAAATTCATTTACAAAATCTAATTACCCATTGTTATATTTAGACTCATTTTCTGAATCTTAGTCAATCCCTTCATACATCAGAGCTCCTGCTGTGTCAATAAATAAAAGTGGGTTATTGATTATTTCCTCAGTGTTATTTTAATACAAATCAACCATTAGCCTATCTTTGACATCGATATGAGCTTTCAAGTTACCATCATACATCGCTTAATTAGACCAGCTCATAATCTTCTCATTCATTCTATACTATTCATTAAGCATAGTCTGATTTTTATTTTTAAATTTCATAACTCTTTCAAATAATGACAGTGAAAGTCCCTTCTTTGATGCCTCATCTGACTTCACCGTGGCATCTAGTTGTTTGTGATCTCCAGCCATCACCAATTTTTTCGCATTTTTAATTGGGATCCAACAAGCAGGTTCCACAGATTATGCACACTCATCAATAACTAGCATGTCAAATAACTAATCTTGCATCTTGTTCTCAATAAATCTGCTAAGAGTTTTATCTGCAGCAGATGTCAAAGTGCAACAAATAACATCAGCTCTATATTAAATTTATAAATTGTATTGAATAGCTTACCTTGTAAAAATATCGTTGATATGGCGTTATTCTATTTACTTAAGGTCTTTTTTTAATTGCTTATATTCACCATATATCTCCTTTCTCTCTTGTTTACTCTTGCTCTTTTGTAATTTTTGATTTAGTTTATTGATAAGCTTTCTGATCTCATTTGTCTATTTACCGTATTCAGCCCTGCTTGATATTAAAGCATCAAGACAGAACTATTAGACAGAATCCATCAATCTTGCTGGATGGCCAATTCTGACGATAAATAAATTGGGATTAGACACACTTAGACGCTCAATAATATTATCAACTGCTATATTCGAGGGTGCGCATGCTAAAATCTTAGCCTTCTACTTATCAACTGCCTAAAGTATTAATTCTACAACAGTTGTAGTTTTTCCAGTGCCAGGAGGCCCATGAATCAAAGAAACATCAGTTGAGGAAAGACATTTTTCAATAGCAAGCCTTTAAGAAGTATTTAGTCCTTAGTTATAATAAGTCAAATTTTAGAGATATTCAATATCATCTTAAACCTACGGCTCCTAAATTTCAAATAGCACTTCAATTAATCTCTGATTTTATCTGGTTCTAAAATAATAAGTATTCTTTTAAGATAAGTGTACTAGTATGACCTTATAGTCTCAAGAGCTTCTTTACATCTTTTATGAGTAATTTCATTTGCAAGGATGACTAATGATAGCGGTTGTCTTAAAGACTCAAAATCATGCATTTCTCTAAAAGAAACTACAATCTAGTCTTCATTCACTTTGTAAACTATTCCATCAATTCTGTCAGATCCTTCTGTCCTAAATCCCCATTTATGAATTATCTTAGATAATTTACGATTGAGCTTGAAATAATCCCACGATATCTCCTGGGGAAAATTTGGTGATTTTGCTCTCCCCATCATCGTATTCTTTGGCTACTTTCCTCTAAGGTCTTGAGAGATGAAGCAAAATCTTTCCATAAATACCTGTAGACACATCTTTTATAGATAATTTTGTAATTGCTAAATTTCTCTTCTCAAGTTCCTAAATAATATTGGTCAGTCAATCCTACATAGCGAATATAGTACCTTGAGCGAAAACTTTGAAAGTAAGCTAGCAGACTCATCAAGTTCAGCTTGTCTTTCCATCTGAAGAAGCCCACTCATCTTCTCTGTGAAGTTGTAAATGACCGACTCCATTTTTAAATTTCAATAAATTATAATAATCATAGTGATAATCAACTTGATAATTTATGTAACCAATTATCCTATGGGGTTTTGGGGTTTTGGGG